CCTGAGTCTATCGGCAAATGGCTCTGCGCAGGGCTTGGGCGGGGCGGGTCCCTGGGGATCAACAGGGCTGCTCGCAGTTCCCTCCCTAGGGACTCTGTCTCACAGAGTACCAGCAACTGCTGCAAACCTCGGAGAGAAAGCTGCCCTCGAATTCTGACCGAGGCCAGACAGTCCCGCTTCTCCCGTTTGAGTCTGAGTCCCTAGAGTCTCGCCCGGATCTGGAGCTCAGAGTCTGAAGCTCCCTCCCGATTGTAAACAACAACCATGCCCTCCGCACCACTAGCCCGCTCCGCGCGCACAGGCACCTGAGAATTTCACTTCAACACTGTGCCTCCTCTGAGTCTGGGTATGATATTGTCTTTACTCCTAGTTGTAGAATTTCCACTCAGCCAGCCCTCCTGTGGTTCTGGATGGTGTCCGTTCCGTGTTTCAGGCGTAATTTGAATTGGTTGTTCGAAGCAGCAATCTCCGGCGTTAACCTATGCCGCCATCTTGGTTCTCCCCGCGTTACTGAGGAGGAGGAGGCGGTTGGAGCGCAGCGTGGCGGGGCGGCGGCCTGTATATTCCACTTTAACTGTATTCTTGAGCAGCTTCTAAAATTTCAACTGAAAAGCATGCATCTTAAACATGCTAACTCTAACCACTAAGCAGAAGCGCACGAAACAGCTTACCTAAAACCTCAGTGGAAGGCACAAGCTCTTAAATCATGGGCTCACTCACAATTACTGTGATGCCTTAGCTGGAGTTCTGTACATTAATGAAAGATGGATAGCCAGGATGCCAAGTATCTTCCTCCCCGATACATTTCTTTTCCGTATGAAAGTGTGGAAAGTTCCTGCCAGTGACCTGCAGCTGGGAGTCGGGACAGACACCATTGCTCCTTCAAGGCTGTTCCTAAGGGTAGCCCTAGCAAATTCTCTTTTGAAAGCAAGTGAGGATGGAGATAGAAGGCAGATGATGGCTCTCAGACAATCTGGTGATTCTGGTTGGGACATAGTGTCTCTAGTCAGAACCTTAACCCCTTCCCCAACAATTTTTTTGTTAAAAACGTTTCTTTTTCAGACTAATTTTTTTATTTTGGTTCTATATAGTATTTTTGATGCTGGTTATGAAAACAGTTTGTAATTATTTTTTCTTCCCATTTTTGTGGTTAACTTTTGTATTTCCTCAGAAAGTTTCTAGATGAAATTATTTAGAATGGTACGTATGTAGCTGGTTTTTGAAGGTAAAGTTTTTAGACGAGTATACTCGTCGACGACTGAAAAAAGAACATTTTGTGAAAACGTGTATACACGTTTCTGCTGGGGAAGGGGTTAATTATGTACAATGGGCACAATAATATCAATGTCTGTTCCCCACATATAAAAGAATAGTATTTCCTCAGAAAGTTTCTAGATGAAATTATTTAGAATGGTACTTTTCAAAGCATGGCACAACACATAGAGCTACTTGGCAAACTTTACACATGTAGCGTGACTCTTTCCTGACTTGTTTCCCTCTATGGTCACGCTTCAGACTGCATACAACACATTTTCTTGTTGGATTTTTCTTTTTTTCTGTTGGTGGAACTTCCATTGGAAAATGTCCTCCTGGCGTATGCCGCAAACTTCCTGGTGATGTCGAGGGTCTACCTGGTGATCTTCTTGGTGGTAAAGCAGGTCCATACTTGCCAAATATGTATCGTATAATTTCCAAACGAAACTTCAGGTGTGTTAGGCTTTTTTTCCCTGACTGAGTGAATGCTTCTTGATGCAGGATGAAAGCATTCCATACTCCAATATCCATCAAATGGAAGAAAACTGTCTTGTAATATTTCTTACCCCGTTTCCTTGGAATGGGATAATCTACCAGTTGCTGGTCCACCTTGTCAGCTCCTCCCATTGTATGATTGTATTCACATACAACTTTGGGTTTCTTCACAGGCCCTTGTCTTGTCTCAATGTCATGCATGGCTGGGTTGTGAATGGTTGATAGCATTGCAACATCCTTTTTGTCTTTCCAACAAAGAGTCATTACCTTGCCTCTCTGAAATGCTGCAACTTCTCCTTTCTTCAGTTTTTTTCTTTTCAGTTCTTCTGGCACTTCTTTTCGATTCATACGTAGAGTTCCATAAGTATCAGTCTGGTTCATAACTAGAGCATCAGCTAATTGTGGACTAGTGTAATAGTTATCCACAGTAACACAATAACCTTTCCCAAATAAGGGCTTCATCAAAGATAAAACAACACGCAAACTCACAGGATATGCATCATACTCTGGATCAAACTGTGTTCCTTTGCCAACATAAATGGTCATGTTGTACACATATCCAGTCTTCAATTCACACAACATGAAATATTTCACTCCAAACCTCCTCCTTTTCAGTGGAATGTACTGTACCCATCCTAACCTTCCTTTGAACAACATAAGGCTCTCATCTATACATACATCTTGCCTAGGGGTGTAATACTTCCCAAAGTTCTCATACAATGTCATGAATACATTATAAATCTTATACAATTTTGGGTTAGGGTGAGTTTGTGCATCATGAGTTTCATTATCTACAAAATGAAGATATTGCTTTATCTTACTGTACCGTTTCATAGTCATTAGCTGCCGAAAAATTGGTCTTTCAAGCAGTTCATCATGTGACCAGTTCATTTCTTCTTCTGGCATTTTCACAATACCCCCAAGCATTTTCATGGCAAAAAATACAAAAAGTTCAGCCTCTGTTACAGGGCGCCACAAAGAATCATCTTGCCCAGTTTGTTCAGCAAAACGATTAGTCTCTACCAGTACAGAGTCAATAATCCTTTTATCAATAAAAAGACTGAAGAATTCAAATGGACTCAGTTCTGCTGGGTTTTCATCAATCTTTATTCCAGGATTTCCTGTGAAAGGAAAACATGGTGGTGGTGCATTCATACGCTCCTCTGACAACTCGAGGCTTCTCCAAGCTCTCCCCTCACCCCCCTCCTCCTCCTCACTTGTCGAGAAATAGTCATTGTCTGATGAACTGGCAGAGTTATCAGAAGTATTCAAGCTTCTGAGGGAAGATTCATATTCACTATCTTCCGTTGCACTAGACATTTGGGGTGTAACACTTGAAAATGCTAAAAAAAATGAATGCAAATGTGGATGCAAACAACACCCATCCGACGACAATGGCTGTCGGAGCAAGTCTAGTAACAATGTCCTTGAAATCCCACAGCTCTACCCTATCGCCTCTGCAAGGCGTACGATTTGACGAGAATACTCATTTCACACGTAGAATGGCTTACAAAGGCTTAAAATCGACGAGTATATACGTATGTAGCTGGTTTTTGAAGGTAAAGTTTTAGACAAGTATACTCGTCGACGACTGAAAAAAGAACATTTTGTGAAAACGTGTATACACGTTTCTGCCGGGGAAGGGGTTAAATCTAAAATGAGAAACCATTCTGTGCCTCTTAAATTCATTGCCTCCTAATGCTTTCAGAAAACGTGGCAAACAGTTGTGCTTTAAAGAACAATTTTGGCCCAGCCGGCATGGCTCAGTGGTTGAGTGTCGACCTATGAACCTGGAGGTCATGGTTCCATTCCCGGTCAGGGCACATGCCTGGGTTGAGGGCTTGTTTTTTTTTTTTAAGAATGATTTTGACCTCTTAACCCTCATTATTTTCCAGATCCCATGCCTGCTTTGTCCTCATGGCAGCAGGAGAACGGGGACTCTGATGATGCTCCCCTCTCCCCACCAGTCGGGGATCTCATTCGTCAGCTTCTGGATGAAGATAGCGACCCCATGATCTCTCCTCGGTTCTACTCGTATGGACAGAGTAGGCAATACCTGGATGACACAGAAGTGCCTCCTTCTCCTCCAAATTCCCACTCTTTCATGAGGTAGGGTTTTTTTTGTTGATCAGCAAATGCATCATCATTAGGATAGTCATGGCTGATGGGCAATAATTTTTCTTAATTAAGCTGTAAGTCTGTGAAGGAATATATTTAAAATTCTCCCCCCTGGGACACAGGCTTCATCGTAGTTTCTCAGTTGAACTGTGGCCCAACTGCAACATCACATACTGAATTTGCGTTGGCACCTCCTTTCCAAAGCTCTCTCAAATTTAACTTTGAAGCCTCAGCAGACATTTCCATCCTAACTTTGCTAATTATAAATGTGAGCTAGAGGAAATTAGACCCATTTAATAGGTGGGACATATAGAGCCCAAAGTCACAAAATAAATTAGTAGTCCAGTTTATTTTACTGGAGAGCATGAAGACCATTCACACCCTCCCCCTCCATGCCTCCTCTCATCCCCCAGCTCTTTTCACTGCTGGGGAGCTGACTCAAGGTTTCCCCTCACAGGCAACGGAGCTGCTCTCTGGGGTCCTACGATGACGAACACGAGGACCTGACACCTGCCCAGCTCACACGAAGGATTCAGAGTCTTAAAAAGAAGATCCGGAAGTTTGAGGACAGATTCGAAGAAGAGAGGAAGTACAAAGTAAGTGCCTCCTCTCTCTGATGTGACATGCCAACATGTCGGCAATGCAGAGAAATGGTAAAGGTTAAGCAAGATATCTAGGGAGTCTCAAAGCAAAAAAGCAATAAAGACTGGGTAGTGAACTCTCATACACCTCAAACATCATGTACTAGCATTTTCCTCGCACAAATGTGTTCTTATAAACTAGAGGCCCAGTGCATGAAAATTTGTGCACTCGGGGGTGTCCCTCAACCTGGCCTGCGCCCTCTTGCAGTTCAGGACCCCTCGGGAGATATCCACCTTCCAGTTTAGGCCCGCTCCCCAGGGGATCGGGCCTAAGCTGGCAGTCAGACATCCCTCTGGCAGCCTGGGAGCCCTTAGGGGATATCCATCTGCCAACTTAGGCCAGCTCCCCGGGGATTGGGCCTAAGCTGGGAGTCCTCAGGGGATGTCCAACTGTTGGCTTAGGCCCACTTCCCTTGGGGAGCGGGCCTAAGCCATCAGTTGGACATCCTTAGTGCTGCCACAGAGGCGGGAGAGGCTCCCGCCACCGCCACTGCACTCGCAGTTGTCAGCCCGGTTTATGGCTTAGCAGAGCTCTCCCAGTGGAAGCGCACTGACCACCAGGGGGCAGCTCCTGCGTTGAGCCTCTGCCCCTTGGTGGTCAGTGTCATCATAGCGACCAGTCGTTCCACCATTAGGGTCGATTTGTATATTACCCTTTATTATATAGGATAACTTGAACACTTCAGTTTCCCATTCTGTAAACTTATCAGTGAACCAGAATGGGAAAGTCATTAAGTGATGTCTTTTCTTTGGCTACAACTTAATTCAAGATTATCTTCTAAAATTTCATTAGTACTGACCTCATTCTACTCTCAGCTCTTTCCTTGGTATTTCCCATAAGAAGAGCAAAAAGGCATTTTTCAAGGGGTTGCAGAGTAGAATATCAGACACTCCTCTGCTTTCTATTCTGTTAGCCTGACAGGTTGAACCCTACAAGTAATGGAAACAGGGCCATCCATGGGCCTTATACAAGTTCGTAACCATAAAAATTCAGCATTTTGCCTCTGAGGAATTCTTTAAAAGCATCAAAAATAATCAGATGTAAAGAAGGATGCTGGAATTAAACTTGTGAAGTTTGCCCTGATTGGTCCTGGTTAATTTCTTATTCCAATGAGACTCATGTTTCCTTCCTTCTTAACACAAACTGATCATCAAATGCTTCTTTTTCCTGCTCCAATTCCAATTCCAAGACATTCACCATAATTTTCCTTTTCTCAGCCCTCCCACAGCGACAAAGCAGCCAATCCTGAGGTTCTGAAGTGGACAAACGACCTTGCCAAATTCCGGAAACAACTAAAAGGTAGGTAAAGCTCTAGACCTATGGTGTGGTTTCTAATAAACAAGCCAGGTACATTGCCCTGACTGGTTTGACTCAGTGGATAGAGCATCGGCCTGCGGACTGAAGGGTCCCAGGTTCGATTCTGGTCAAGGGCATGTACCTTGGTTGTGGGCACATCCCCAGTAGGGATGTGCAGGAGGCAGCTGATCAATGTTTCTCTCTCATCGATGTTTCTAACTCTATCCCTCTCTCTTCTTCTCTATATATATAGAATCTCATGCCTAGTGCCACTGCTAAAATATGCCAGAAAGAGACCTAGCTTGTTTGGCTCAGTGGATAGAGCATCAGCCTGTGGACTGAAAGATCCCAGGTTAGATTGCAGTCAAGGGCACATGCCTGGGTTGCAGGCTCTATCCTTAGTAGGAAATGTGCATGTTGAGTGTGTTTTCCCTCCACATCCCATGTGGTTCAGGATCTGAAAGCGGAGCTGCACACAAATGAAAGAAAAGAGACAAGAGACATGAGATAATTTGGAAATATTGGGGAGCCTGGCGGGCAAGCCCAACTCAAGGAGAAGGACTTCCACTGGTGCTAAGGCCTCACCAAGCTTTTATTGATCTCGGGATAGCCCCTAGGTAGGGAGTTTCCAGTAACACACAGACTAACTCATCAGCAGGCAATTTCCAGTAATAGGCAGACTATCTTATCAATAAGGATTTACATAAGTAATTAAATGAATTAAGGTGGGGAGGATTCTTCAGCTACCATTATCTAGATTAACTGGGTGGTGCACAGTTCCGACCTTTGCTTGGGCTTCAAAGGTCACCAGCTTTTGGGTTCTCTACGCTTCTCTGCTAGTGAAGACAATAAGTGATCTCCGACACGTGCAGACTGCAGCCGATCAATGATTCTCTCTCATCATTGATGTTTCTTTCTCTCTCTCCCTCTCCTTTCCTCTCTGAAATCAATAAAAATATATCTTAAAAAAATAATAAAATATGCCAGAAAGACAAGTTCCTTAAGGCTGCTTCCCAGTGCTCTCAGCAATTAGGGGACACCTTCTCCATGGTCTTAATCACAAAGTATCCCAGATTTTCTAAGATGCAAATTCTGTAACATTTCTTCATTTTCCTAAATCGCTAATAAAAAGATAATGGTTTCAATTCAATACTCATTAAGTACCTGTTTAAGGCTTTATTTACTGTGGTATTAGAAGACGTAGACACAGAAATGAATATAAAAAGGACTTGGCCCCTGTCCCTCAAGGAGCTTGCTGTCTTTTAGGAGACAGACATATAAGCAACTAAATAGAATACAAAATAAAAAATAATTCCAAAATGAGGGACATGAGTCACACACAAAAAGTTGGCCAGCAGTTGGGCACTGGATCAGTACCAGTAAGTACCTGTAAACACGAAGGCAGTAAGTGTAGGAGAACACCTGCCACATTCTGAGAACAGTGAGCAGGTTGGTGTGGCTAAAGTACAGATATTCAGTAAAAGACCTAGAGCTTTCTCAGGAATGAAGGTTAGGGAAACTGTTCAGATAGCCCAGGAAGACATTATCATTTTCTCAGGTTTTATATAATAACCTAGGTGTTTCAACTAATGTTATAATTATATACCTTCAGGGAGAGAGGCAGGACTAAGTTGCTATTAACATCACAGACATCAATTCTCCTATATCTCTGCCCCCAAATTTTTTCAACTAGAGTCAAAACTAAAGATATCTGAAGAGGACCTAACCCCCAGGCTGCGGCAGCGAAGCAACACACTCCCCAGGAGTTTTGGTTCCCAACTTGAGAAAGAAGATGAGAAGAAGCAAGAGGTGGTAGATAAAGCAATCAAGCCCAATGTGGAAGCCACGCTGGACTCCATCCAGCGGAAGCTGCAGGAGAAGCGGGCAGAGAGCAGCCGTCCCGAGGACATTAAGGTGTGGTGATTTGGTGAAGGCCCCAAGCTAACTGCTCACCCTAAACAAGTGGTCGGCAAACTCATTAGTCAACAGAGCCAAATATCAACGGTACAGCGATTGAAATTTCTTTTGAGAGCCAAATATTTTAAACTTAAACTATATAGGTAGGTACATTGTTATTAATTAGGGTACTCCTAAGGCTTAGGAAGAGCCACACTCAAGGGGCCAAAGAGCCACATGAGGCTCGCGAGCCGCAGTTTGCCAACCACTGGTCTAGGAGATGCAGGCACAGTGTGTAAGGCAGGGAGAGCAGGAGATGTAAAGATAGGGCTCCTGACCTCAAAGAGGGGAACATCCACTAAAGAAAAACAGTAATTTAAATTTGCTTCAAAATGTAAATGGAGAGGAAATGCAAAAGAAA